GTTGGGAATCACAGTGACAAAGCTACATGGTTGGAATTAAAAAGATGGTATTTGCTCAGTAAAATCTAGATATAAAGTAGCTAGAAAAGGTTGGGATTCTTCAAGTTTATCTAATCCATGCCAGTCGTGGCGACCTCCTGAAAGCCTCTGGAAGAAAATATGGTCTCTCTGCAGGCTCTCCTAACGCTTAGGCATTTCCTTTGACAACTTTGCTCTAGCTCGTAGGCTACAAGGGAAGCCCCTTATAAAACAAAGTGCTGTTCTTCTAACATGTGTTAGTTGTGCAATAGGAATATTGAGCCTCAGGATTACTTTTTCTTCTTCTGTGAATGAGTGAAGGCAATATGGTTTAGTTCATAATTTTCTAATAATCTAGTTCCCTTGCAAATTGATAGATGTTTACATGAAAAGATATTTGACAATAGTGCATTTGAAGAATATGATAGGTCTAGATTTACCTTCATTTTGTGGTATATTTGGAAGTCAAGATGTGATTTTGTTTTCAAAAGCTTCCTCTAGAGCTTGCAACAACTTTAAAAACTAGCAGAGAGAGCATTTCGGGAATTTTGGAGGGTGGAGATGCAAAAAAGCAATGGATGCTTGATGGGCCAAGTAGTGATTAGAAACCTCATTCAAGACCACCCTTCTCGCTGGCTCCCTCCTGCTCCAAGTAAAGATATATGTGGATGGGTCTTTCCTTCCCTATCTCAGCAAGAGCAGGAATTGGGATTATTTGTAGAGACTCTTCTAGCAATTGACTTGACGGTTGGGCTATTACTGTAGAAGCTTAGATCCCCACTTGAGACAAACGCGTTAGCAATTAAGAAGGCTCTTGAGATTATGGTGGAAGCTGACCCAACAGATATGTTAATTGAGACTGATAACTTTGCTGCCTTTCAAGCTTTATCTTCTAATTGTCTTCGTGGCTGTGAATGGAAAGTGTTCAGGTTCTTTTGGACGTTTTGGATCTGAAACAGAGATTGAGTTGGGTTTCTTTTTCATTTGTGAAGAGATTCAAGTAATATAGTTGCATATCTACTAACAGCTAGGGCTGTATAAGGGATTGGACGAGCCTAATCTAAAATTTGGTCACTTTTATAAAAAGAATTGAATTAGGTAACTCATAATTCGGTTTAGTCAAATGATAACGCGAAGATTAATAAGATCGAACTTGGTTCACGAGACTAAGAGACTAGTCTTATTAGTCTAATACTCATTTAGCTTTTTTTTTTTCCTTTTTTCTTTATGAGAGGCAATAATCCATTTTAACTTAATATAAACTCAATTAAGATAACAAAAACACTTATAATTATAATAAATTTATAATAATTTCCATCAACAAGAGAAAAATATTTCATTACAATTCAAGTAATTTAAATTATTAAATTATTAGTCTAAAAATGCGACCTTGTCAGAAACCAAACTTATTAAATTATTAATAGTCTTAACTTATTATTATAAATAATTAGTAAATTAATTATAATTATATTCAATAAATTTAACAGGATCAGATTAGACCAAATAGTCTAAATGTCCAATCTCTTGTTTTGTCAAACTTAAAAAATAGTTTGGTCTTTTTAGTCTTTTAAGTTTTAAAGAATTAGTTTTTAACAGGATCAGACAAGATTGAATCTTTTCAAATCAGATTAGGTCGAATAGAACTGAAAAACTCCTACACAACCCTACTAGCAGTGATTGCTTCAAAGAGGATGTGCCATTCTGGTGTCTTGTTCAACCTCCATCCTCTCTTCTTGCCATTCTGCTTGAAGACTCGTAGAACTTGGAAGCTGGTGAAGTGCCACTTGATGGCATTAGTTGATTGGCTTGTCCTTTGTAGTGCTTCTAATATTCGTGCTTCATTTATTTCTGCTAGTACTTGCACCTGATGCATGTTTGGTCTGATTATTTAATGATGGTTTCTATTGGCCTTAAAAAAAATTATTTTATTAATAATAAAATTTAATTAAAAATACTTTATATTTTTAATAAAAAAAGTAAAAGGTAATAAATTAGATAATAAAATAAATCATTTGATTCCTATAAGTGTGTATGAAAAAGTATTATTTAAAATAAAACAATATTTTAAATGAGACTCAAATTCTTTAAGTGATTAATCTCATGACTACTAGATATGAGAATATCATGGTAAATTAAAAAAATAAATTATTTTTTTAGCATGTAATAGAGTAATATGTCATCAAAAAGGTTGCTAATTAAAAAGTTTTAATATTCTTCTACTCTTTTTTAGCTTTTTCAGAAATTGAAGTATTGAACTCATTAAAATCTTCTCTTCTCTTTATTTCATTATATTATAACTAAGAGTTAATATCTCTCATGGGTGTAAAATCTAGATATAGTAATGTGATATACTCCTTCCTTTAAAAATGTAAGGTATTTTTAACCAAATCTTACCCCCAATAAAGTAGTTACCTACTTTTCAACTAACCATATCGTTCATATTTACCTATATTAAATACCCTACAATAAATATAAAGTTATTATCAATAAGGGCACTTTTGAAAAAAGACAATGATTATATTTCAAAAGACTAAAAATATTTTATATTTTTGAACATCCAACTCCTTAAAAAATATTTTTTATTTTTTAATAGAGAGAGTAGTCTATTTTCAATTGAGTTCAATGTATGTGTTTAATTAGGGTGATCAATTGATCATATGGTAGATGGAGGCTTTTTTCCATCCTTCCTTTAATTTTACTTTTGTCTTGCATTTGTTCCTACTAACTAGGAAAAACATGTGAGAGAATATCATATAGTTTATTTAATAAATATTAATAGTGTTTATGTGTATTCTTTATTATATATCTTTACACATCATGAGTTTTTTTGCCCAGCACTTATTAATTTTTTAAAAATTAGTGGTATAATAATATTGATATAATAAAAACAAATTTTGGTGGAATTAAAAAAGAAGCTTCCAACAAAAAATGACGATTGTTTTGTCAGAAAAAAAAGTAAAAAATGAAGATTAATCATTGACTTGACAGAATTTTTTTAAGATTAGAGGAACAACGATTAAATTCTCATAAATTTAAATAAATTTGTGATAAGAATGTAAACTTAAAATATAAATTCATAAGATTTTATCTTTATTAATAAATAATTATTAAAAGCATACAATTAAATAAATAAAGTATAAATATAATTTGATTTAAATATAAGTTATTAAAATTAAATACATCTATATTGATAAATAATCACATTCAACAAAGAAATTTTAAAATAAGCAACTTATTTTTGATATTTCTTATTTTTCCTTTTTATTAATATTAATTTTCTTTTTGAGTTTTATTATTTCCTTTGAATGGGGTCTTATCACTTCTATCAATCAAGTTGTACACCGTATATATTTAACTCACTTGACCTAGTAAAAAATTGATGAGTTTAGTGAGTTTCATTGAATTTACATTTAATATAAATTTATGAGCAAGTTAATACAATTTTATAAGTTAGAAATATAAAAACAATAAAGTCAAAGAATCAATTTGAATTAGATATCATATATTCAATTAATGTTGCAATAATATAAACCAATAATTGCCATCACCTTTCGATCATATAATCACCATATCAACCTTAAGTTCACATAATAATAATTATAAGTCACCAAGATGAATAAGACAAAAAAATAATAATTTAAACTAAAATTTTGACTATAATTGTTTCTATAATCTAAAACTGCAGAGAAAGAAAAAATAAAATTTATATTTGCTTCCTAAACAAGGTAGATTAAAAGTTAAAAACAAAGAAAATGAATAGTTAAGGTTTAAATACATAATAAAGGTGAAATGAATGATGCCACCTTATTATTCATACACTCACCTGTTAGGATCGGCAATAAAGATCCTTTTTTAGGTACTCAAAGATTTTTATATAATCATCATAAGTTTTCAAGAACTAAGATTCATTTCCTCTCTTTAATTAAAGGTATCCTACTTTTCATTTAAATTCCTAGTATATTTACCACTAGCATTTAATAATTTCCTATTTAATATAATATAAATTGAGAATATAATTTATTTTAGGACTGTCTTATGGTTTGAAATATATTTGGGATAAGGATTTTAAGAAAGTTTGTCTTTTCATTGACTCAATAAATGTGATTAGTTTAATTCATGAAGAATCTATTGAACTCCATGAGCAGTATCATTTTGAAGTTACGTGAAGTTTTGGAATGTGATTTACAGGTGATCATGCATAAGATCCCTCATAACTTGAATGATGATGTGGATTGGCCGGCAAAATGAGCATTGACCCTTTCACCTAGCTTCTATCCTCTTTCTACAGAGGACCATGGTTGGAGAATTAGTTTGAGACCTCCTTAGATTTAATGGCTTTTGTTGTTTGTTTTATTGTCTTAGCTTTTCCTTTTTATCAAAATAAAAAAAAAAGAATATGATTTATTTTATGGAGCCAAAAGGTTGTAATTTGAATGTATAATTGAGGGAGATAAATTTTCGAACCCAAGATTCACAACAGCCATACTCTGGATATTGGTATTCCAAATAATCAATTAACAAAATTTTGTTTGCTTTTATAAAATACAAGAAGTCAAGAAGGAAGCGATTGATTGTCTTAATAAGTGTGGTACTGTCACCTACAGTGAAGCAAAGTGAAAAAGGAGAGAAGATGCAACGCAAGAAGGTTAAGGATACGAACACTCACGGCAAAATATGGGATGACATCTTGAATAACCATGAAGAAATAAAAGTCAACTTTATTGACTCCGAGGATGAATTCCCAATGTTTAAAGAGATAAATTTATAAGTTTATTCTTCGACACATTAATCAATTTTATAAGTTAGAATAAATGATATCTAATTCGAATTTTTAATTAAGCTGGCATGAATTCGTAAGTTAGAAGCATACACATAATATTCAGGTTAAAAAAAAAAAGGCATACAAATAATAAATTCGCAGTCATTCAAATAAGTTTGACAGCAATGGAACTGATGTCAGAAGTGGGATTAAACAAAGCACATCTCACTTTCAAAGAGAGCTAGGATATTAGCGACTTCACAACATTTTAACGTAGTTTTCGTGCCATCGGCGGTCAAAATTGCCGCGAAAACCAACGGTTCAGAAATCCTTCATCTTCTTCATTCAATTCGACCATTTCAGCCACCATTAAACCTTGCTTGGGCAGAGAAAAGGAAAGAACTTTTGCTCCAAAACCTCACACCTAACGATCCATTTGTTCTTTTTCTCTTCATTTTCTGGACAAATAGGAGTGCCCCACCCTTGAACCCTAGCTTCTTTTCCATGCTCAGGTGCATTCACAAATGGAAGCCTCGCCATTTTCCTCGAAAATCAGCAAGCTTTTCGCCCTTGACAATCTTCATTTTCACTAAATCATCAGTCTCTGCTGCGAAGGTTGAGAATGAGCCTGTCGCTGCCTCCTCCATTGATCCTAGAGCGGTTGACCCAGTTCGTGAAGTTCTCGCGGGTTTGAGGAACTTCGGCTTGGGAATTTTCCTTGTCGGCGAATATTTCCGTTCCGTAATTTCGAAGTTGAACCAGTTCCAGGTGGATCGAATTATCGATATTCTGAGGGGAGAAAATTCAGACGCTGCGTTATTCTTCTTTTATGCGTTGAAGAATGACTACGGTTTTCGTCTCTCCAGGGATTCCCAATTTGTTGTTGCACATGTTTTGGCAAGCAAAAGGAGGTTTAGGGATCTGCACTTGGTCATAGAGGAAATGCTTGAACAGGAAGGTACGACTTTCATGGTTTACTTTGAAAATCATAAATTTGTGTTTCAGGTAAGATAAACTTAGAAGCAGGTCGAGACTTGAGATGAGAATTTAGTGTGGAAAACTTGATCACCATTGTCATTTAATAGTTAGAATCTTTGTTGTAGGATTTAGATGGGAAAAGAAAGAGAGAACAATCAAAATGAAATTTAATTCTTATTCCATACAATCCATACACACACCAATTACAATGGCCTTTTTATTTTCTTTTATAGACACTAATAAACTAATTATCCTAACTACCCAGCTAGCCTCCTGTTATTTTTACAATTATATATTAAGCGTACTTGGCTATGCAAGAGCTATACGAGAAGAAAGGAGAGTGGAGAGTAGAGGGAGAGAGCTAGGGAGAGTAAGAGAAGGCAAAACCGGTTCCAAATTAAATTACTAGCCCAATGGTTGCAGTTTAATGGTATTTATCCAATTGCTAATAGGTAACTGGAAACTAGTAGTTCACAAGAGCTAACTAACTTTCTAACAATGGTATTCATCTACAAACGTCTATCCTCAAGCGTGGGCTATTTTGCACCTTGATTCAGTGGAACGTGGTTTACTCCTCCTTGATCAAATGAAAATTGACCCACAGAAACAGTTCCCAAATTTCACCCTAAGTACTTTGGTGCTTTACGGTCATGCAGATTGGCATGAAATAGTTAAAGTAGGTTGTAAATTTAACTCATGCAATACAATGTAGTTGATCTTTTTGCTTACATTTATGATCAAAGACAACAGACAATTTGCAATCGAATTTCTTGAAAGTTGAAAGTATAAGTGATTTAACGTTGCACTTAAGTCACACTACTCAAGTACATCTGAAACTCTTGACAATATTTTATCACAGACTCATACATCACTCTACGAGAAACTACCCACTGCACGGGCATTCCCTCCTCACTCTGCTCTACACTCTCTTATTGTCATTCAACAAGTTGATGCAACAGATCTGACAAATCATCATTGTTTGTAAACTTGGACCGAACCAGTCAGTTTGACCCGTGAATCAGCCAGTCTGATTGTCTGAGCAGACTGGTCACTTTGTGATCAAGTTTCAACCTAGGAAGACCCATCAGGTTGAATGGGTTGACCGGATTAGACTTTATTCATTTTTCCTTTTCTTTTTCCTTTCTCCTTTTGAATTGTGAATCGTAAATCAAATCTAAATCCCTTAATTAATATTTTTAATGTTGTTATACTTTATTATTGTCTAAAACTTATAATTAATATTTGTATAAAACATGTATAAGGTTCTATGGATGAATGTTCCATTCACTTGAGAATTAATGGCCTTTTAATATAAATATTACTATCTCCCACAGTCAAATATGAATATTTCTTGTATCTTTTAATTAAATTATATTACTTTAATCATGATGGGTTTGACCATTAACCTTTGAATTATTGCCCTGATTGGTCCAATGACCAGTTCAGTTTTTAGTACTTTGAAAATCACGGTGCAGTAACAGATTCAACTCAAAAGGGGAGGTGATATAGATAACAAAAGAACCCTACTTTGAGACTGAAGCAAGCCAATCATCCAGCAACATTAGTGGGAGAGGTTGTTAAATGATAGACAGAAACTGATTCAAAACTTTATTACTTGAGAGAATTGTTTATTGTTGAAATCTTCAAAATAGTCTTTTCTTATGCTCTCCATAAATCATTTTTTAAACTTAAACCCATATCAGCTATATAAATTTGATAACTTAAGTTTTAAGATCAATGTAAAATATTGTCTTCTTTAAAAATGTTATATTTTCTTCTTTCCATATTGTTATGCATATTTCATTTAATTTTGGTTCAGGGGTTCTTAAAAAAATTTATATGATTTCTGATAGGTTCTGGTCATGCTTCCTTACTTTGTGAGCTGCTCATGAACAATTTCAGGGGCTGGGACTCAAATAGTGTGGTATGGGATGCATTGGCTTTTGCTTATTCAAGATTTGAGATGGTTAATGATGCCTTGCTTGTTCTGGCATATATGAAAGACTTAAATTTACCAGCTTCAACATTAACCTGTAATAGCTTATTGCATAATTTGAGGCATGTGGACATATTTTGGGATATCTACGGTAAAATGAGGGACAATGGGACATCTGAAAATGAGTATACTAACTCTATACTCATAGATGGCCTATGTGAGCAAGATATGCTACAAGAAGCCATTCTAGTTTTGAGGAATTCTAAGGCAAATGGACTTGGCCCTTCTGTTGTTTCCTTCAATACAATCATGTCAAGATTTTGTAAATCGGGTTTTGTAGACATAGCAAAATCTTTGTTCTGTCTGATGCTTAAGCAAGGTCTGTCTCCTGATGCATATAGTTGCAATATTCTAATTCATGGTTTGTGTCTAGCTGGTTCCATAGAGGAAGCTCTAAATTTTACAGACCACATGAGAAACCAGGGGTTAAAGCCTGATATAGTAACCTACAACATTCTTGTCAAAGGGTTTCTTCTACTTGGCTTAATGGATGGGGTTTGGCAGCTAATTCAGGAAATGTTGTTGGCTGGGTTAAATCCTAACGTTGTTACATATACAATACTAATTTGTGGGCATTGTCAGATGGGCAATGTTAATGAGGGTTTGAAGTTGCTAGAGGAGATGGTTTCTCTCGGATTTCAGTTGAGTCTCATTCCATACAGTGTATTGCTTAGTAGTTTGTGCAAATATGGACGTTTTGAGGAAGCACTGAGATTGTTCTATGACTTGGAAACTTCAGGCCTGAAACCAGATCTCATAATATATTCTATCCTGATTCATGGGCTTTGCAAGCTAGGAGAAGCCCAAAGTGCTTTAAAGTTTTATAGGGAGATCTGTTCAAACAATTTCTTCCCAAATTCCTTCATTCACAGTTCTTTTCTGTTAGCTATGTGTAAAGATGGAATTACAACAGAGGCGAGAAAATATTTTGAAGACCTAACAATCATTGAACCACAAAATATAGTTTTTTATAATATTATGATTGACAGATATGTAAAGATTGGCAATATTGAGGAAGCTTCACAGTTGTACAAAAGAGCTATTGAGAAAGGAATTGCTCCTACTATTGTTACTTTCAACTCTCTAATTTATGGATTCTGCAAGAAAAAAAACCTGGGAGAGGCTAGAAAATTGTTTCAATGCATTGAACAATATGGCCTGTTACCAAATGCTGTAACTTATACCATTCTTATGAATGCATTGTGTGAAGATGGATATATGCAAGGCATGATTGAATTATTTCATAAGATGGAAGCAAGTAATTTAGCTCCGACTCACATTACTTATACTGTAATTATCAAATGTCTTTGCAAACATTGGAGGCTGAATGATTCCCTCAAAGTGCTTAATGATATGCACTCTAAGGGTTTACGTCCAGATCAAATTACATATAATACCATCATCCAGTATTTTTGCAAGGCTCACAACATGGATAAAGCCTTCCAATTGTTCAATGAGATGTTAAGACTGAAACTGGAGCCTACTGCTGTAACATATAATGTCTTGATCAATGGCCTTTGCATTAATGGTGGCCTAGAATATGCTGATAGACTGCTAATTGCTCTTGAAGAACAGAAAGTCTGCTTGTCCAAAGTTGCTTACACTGTAATAATAAAAGCGCATTGTGCAAAAGGTGATGTCCACAGGGCAGTGCTATTCTTCCATAAAATGATTGAAAAGCGATTTCAAATTTCAATCAGTGATTATAGTGCAGTAATCAATAGATTGTGTAAAAGACGTATTATTGCTGAAGCAAAGTATTTCTTTTCTATGATGGTAGCTAATGGTATTTCTCCTGATGAAGAACTTTGCAAAACGATGCTAAATGCATTTTCTGAAAGTGGTGATTGCAGTTCAGCTTCAGAACTACTTGCTGAAATGATTAAAGCTGGTTTACTTTCTGAATAGTCAATGAAATGGCTAATTGCATTCTTTCTATCTTTCTGATGGATCTACTTTCAAGAAATAGTATGAAGCCCATCTCTACCTGTAGCCCTCGCTGGCATGGCAAACTTGTTGAAGTTTAATCAGATTGTCTACTGGTGAGGGAACTTTTACTTCCAACATGATTATTTTTTAAAACTAATATACTTGTAAATACCACAAAGAGAGATTGGATTATGAATCTCCTTGTCTAAAATTTAAGTGGCGCTGAAGGACAAGAATCATCTTGTTCAAACTTGGAAACTAGCTCAATGAATTATTGGCGATTTGCTTGCCTTTATATAGTTTCCCATTATAATTTTTACTATTTTGTTTTCCAGGACATTTCTGTTTCAATTCTCTCACAGAAGGTTGATATTATGATCTCTATTTGGTATTTTATTTCGAGGACAATTGTGTAATTGAGGATTTGATCGACATCTGTTATAAATTTGTCTTCATTTTGGGAGAAATTGGTACATTTCAAATATAGGTTAAGTATTTTCATCCTCATTCCTCCATATTCTTTATTACAAACAAGGTAATGTGACTTTTTTTTTAATGATTTCCCAATCTATACTAATTTCTTTAAAATCATTTATTTTCATCTAGAATCTCCTTTTTCAAATACACATACATGCATAATATATATATATATATATGCTGTTCGTTGTGTTACACAATAAGTTTTTGTAGAAATATATAATATTTAATGTAAATACTTGGTCATTATTCCCGTAGGTACTATACGATCAAATAGGATCGGGTTGATTAAGAAGATTTGATTTTATTCTGTATCATTGTAAATCCCTTCTTTCTCAGCCCATATCATGGCTTCCCTACTTTATATATTTTGTTGACACCAACTGGATAGAATTAGTTCAGTTTTTCTCATTTATCTTCATGGTATCAGAGCACGAGGAAGAAAGAGTGACTGAATCATCGGAGATGGCAATGGACTCAAACTCTCAGCCTAAAACTCACCAAGGAAAAGAGTCAATTGGCTTGGAGGGTTCGTCTAGTGTGAGCTTGCATCAGTTCGCATCCTTTATGATTGGCCAAGAGAGCTCACCCATCTCCCTCATCTCAGATAAGCTCATTGGTGTCAACTATCGAGAGTGGGCTCAGTCCGTTCGACTCGCAATAGAGGGTTGTGGTAAATGGGGGTACATTTCTGGCGAATCCCACTGTCTAGCAGCGACAAATGTCAAGGCTTTCAACGTTCGGAAGACCGATAATTGAATGGTGTGTTCATGGCTGGTAAATTCAATGATGCCAGCTGTGAAGAAAAGTTTCTTATTTCTCCCAACAGCTTGAGAGATATGTAACGCTGTGAAGGAGGCATACTCTGATGGTGAAAATGCTTCTCAAGTGTTTGAGATAAAATTGAAGCTGTGGCTTGTGAAGCAAGATAATCGTGATCCAAGTGAATATTTCCTTAAAAAAATTCTCTGTGGCAAGAACTTGATTAGATTACTGCTGAGAAATGGACAAGTTTAGAGGACGCTGCTCAGTTTCGGAAGCGGCTTGAGAAAGAACGTCTTTATGAGTTATTAGTGGGACTTAATTCAGATCTCGATGATGTTTGTGGGCTGTGGTAGAATTCTGAGTCTAGAACCTTTGCCGTCTGTCCGTGAGGCCTTTGCAATGATTCGAAGGGAATACTCACGAAGAAAGGTAATGTTGAAGGATGAACCTGTCCCTCGAACTAATACTCTTAAATCTGCATTTGCTCTTGCTGCCAAGTCCAATGATCCTAGAAACAATCAAGGACGTCTCACATGTGAACACTATAAGGATGTTGGCCACACAAAGGAGAAATGCTGGGATCTTTATGGTAAACCCCCTGATTGGAAGCTAAGGAAAGGAAGAAGTTGTGGATATGTTGCTGAAAGCTCTATGGAAGATGACAATTTACAGCCCTCAAATGATCAACTAAGTAAGATTCTTGAGATGCTTTCAGCTCTAAAAACTAATAGTAAGCAACCTGTTGCCATTGTGGTACAAAGAGGTAATTTATCTAGAGCCTTAGCTACTATTAAACAAGTATGCACTAGAGACTATTGGATACTAGACTTAGTGATGAAATATAGGAATTAATATATTTTGAAGGAACCTCATATAGGAAGAAACTTAGGCTAGTAGCTTATTATCATTGTATGTTGCTTGTAAGAAACTTATCTAGGAAGAAATAAGTTACTTTTGTATTATTCTAATACTTCTGTAAAGAGGGACATCTGAACATTGGCTTTATCTTGCCAAGTTATTAAGGTTTCTTTAATAGGTAGGAAAATTTAGTTTAAATAGATTAGGCTTTGCTCTTGTAAGGACACTCTTGATGAATGAATTATTGTGATTGAGTTTCATAAGCTCTCCCCTTCTCTCTACGTCTCTCCCCCTCCTTTGCTTCCCCACTATTCTGTTCTTCATTTTCTTCCTTTTTCCCTCCTTATTTTTGATTTCTCTTTATTCTTTCCCTTTGTCTAGCACCGTGCAAGTGTGTGTGTGTGCTACATCAGTTTGGTATCAAACCTAGTGTTTCTTCCTTCCTTGGTCATTTCTGTCGCCTGAAAATTGTAGAAAACTTGCCTGAAAACCTTAAAGACCCTTTGTTTCACACTGCCTACCCAAAAACCCCTGCTTCCTAATGTTAGATCACTAAACCACCACGACCATTTTGTTCAAGAGGAGGAATCCAGTCAGAACCCAAAATCTCACCTCCGTCCTCCTCTGCACGCACCTCTACACGCCGGTGGAGTGTTCTACGTGTGGTCTTCACACGCCCACATGTTGGTGACAGTCCCTTTGCGTGACTTCACGCGCCATCCTTCCAGAAACCACCTGAACCTGTTTTTCTACACTTTTTGAGGTGTTTAGCAAGGTTTCCTTTGTTCTGATCAATTTGGTTGAGATAAATGATTTTTTAAAGCTTAGTTTGGGGAAAAAGTTTCATCTTTAAGGCTCAAAAGCTATGTTGGTAAGCCGATGACCCTCTCAAAACCTGTTAGGTCATTGTTTTTTGTGTTTTTTTTTTTTTGCATGGTTCCTTCTATTAAGACCTATCTTATGTGCAATACATCATTTGTGAGTTTAGTTTGTATTTATTATGTCTCGAATCACTAATAGTTGCCTTGAGGAATCTCGTAAGGCTAGTAAGGAAGATGGGGGGAAAAATTCAAGAGTTCAAGGAATACATGGATGGTAAGGTTGATGAAATCTCAAGAGCTCTTAAGTGTGTACATGAACAACATGCTGTGGGAAAAACTTTGTCAAGACCTAAAGGGGATCATGATTCTTTTGTGGCACTAGAAAATAGTATCCTCATCAAAAAGCCTTCACCTATACCTATGTCAGTTATACAAAAAAAAAAAAAAAGATGTTAACAACATTAGTGGTCCTGAAATTAGAAGCTTAGTTATGGAAAAAGTCAAGGCAATAATTGAGGCTAGCACAAATGTTATTAAGAAACAAGAGAATGATGCTGATTTAGAAGAAAGCTCCATGAATTATGAAAGCATGAGTCTTAAATTGAATCAAGGTTTGAAATTGGTGGCCAAAGATTTTGAACCACAAGCCTTAGAGATTTATCAAGATAGGGATCTTGACAAGAGGAGTGTTCAATTTTGTCAAATTCCTACTTCCAATCATCCATATGCTACATCATTAGCTAGAAAAGAAGTTGTGGTTATCATTATGATCATATTGTTTTCCCATTTGATAACAACCTCTACAACTACCTTGTTCATTGGGAAGGTTTTTCAAATCATTATGATCACATTGCTTGCTCTCCACATGGTCTTATTTTCCACTATATTGTATGTTGGAAAGGATCTCCAGATTAGTTGCTACTGGAAAGAATTCCCTACATTGCGCTCTAGTGAAGTTATATCAACTTTTTTACCCTCCGGAGGAGAGTTCCATCAAGCAGGGGAGAATGATGAAATATAAAAATTAATATATTTTGAAGAAACCTCTTATAGGAAGAAACCTAGGCTAGTAGCTTATTATCATTGTATGTTGCTTGTAAGAAACCTATCCAGGAAGAAGTAAGTTACTTTTGTGTTATTCTCATACTCTTGTAAAGAGGAAAATCTGAACATTGACTTTATCTAGTCAAGTTATTAAGGTTTCCTTAATAGGTAGGAAAGTTTAATTTAAATAGATTAGGCTTTGCTCTTGTAAGGACATTCTTGATGAATGAATTACCGTGATTGAGTTTCAGAAACTCTCCCCCTCTCTCTCTCTGTCTCTCTCCCTCCTTTGCTTCCCTACTATTTTGTTCTTAATTTTCTTCATTTCTCCCTCTTTATTTTTGATTTCTCTCTACTCTTTCCCTTTATCCAGCACGGTGCAAGTGTGTGTGAGTGTGTGTTACATCACTCAGGTGCTTCAAATCATATGACTGATAATATTAAACTATTTACAACATGTGTACCCTGCCAAAAGAAACTTACAGTCAAGATTGCAGATGCATCAGAGTCCGTTTTTATTGGTATTGGGAGCATACAAATTTCATCTACTCTCACTTTGCATCCTGTTCTTCATGTTCGTTCCTAATTTAAAGTGTAGTTTACTCTTAGTGAGTAAATTGGCAAAAGATGAGAAGTGCCATACTGATTTCTTTGCTACTTATTGTCTTTTCCAAGATCTACTGACGGCGATGACAATTGGCAGTGCTAAAGAGTTTGATAGTCTCTACTACCTAGATGGAAGTGAAGTCAGCAGTGTTAGGTCATGCAATAAAGTGTCTCTCCCTAGAACTAGTGAGTTGGAGTTGTGGCACAAATGTTTAGGTTACCCTAATTTCAATTATATGTCAAAAATGTTTCCTTCAATTTGCAATAAAAGTGATTGTTCTCAATTCTATTGTGATTCTTGTGAAAAAGCAAAACATCGCCGTGTCTTTTTTCCACATTAGCCATACTTTGCATCCAAGCCTTTTACAACCATTCACAGTGATCTATAGGAGCCCTCTTGGGTTCCTAATAGAACTCACTCAAAATGGTTTATGACATTTATTGATGATCATTCTCATGTTAGCTGGGTGTTCCTTCTAAAGGACAAACATGATGTGTCACAAGTGTTCATTGACTTCTATCATATGATTAAAATTCAATTTCACACATCTATTCAAACCCTCCACACTAACAATGGTACAGAATATTTCAACAAACACCTCTCTACATTTTTACTTTTCAATAGAATTGTTCACAAAAGCACTTGACCATAGTCTTTAGCAAAATGGTATTGCTGAAAGGAAAAACAGGCACGTTCTTGAGACAGCCCGTGCACTTCTCTTTAGTAGCCATGTTCCTAAACATCACTAGGATGATGTTGTCCTAAATGCAACTTTCCTTATTAGTTGTCTCCCAAACCATACTCTATCATACAAAACTCCTCTTGAAGTTCTACATCAAACTCACAATCAACCTTACTTGGAAAACCATCTTCCTATAAAAGTATTTGGGTGTACTGTCTATGTTCATCCTCATCATACAAATAAACTTGACCCTAAAGCTATCCGATGTTTTTTCCTGGGTTACTTTGCCACTAAAAAAGGGTACAAGTGCTTCGATCCTACTACCAAAAGTGTTTTTACCACTTATGATGTCACCTTTCATGAAACCGAATCCTTCTACTCCCAATCTACAATTCAAGGGGAGAATTGGAATGAATTGCAAATTGACATGTGTGAAAACACAAGTGGAACACCTGAAACAACTGATCTTATATCTATACCTCACCATTTGTCCCTTGAACTTGAAGATCAGCCTAGAAAGTGAGACCAACAACACCAATACCACTACTCTAATTGAATCAAGTGATGTGCCAAGTCCTAGTCCCAAGGAGAAGAAGTCTATAACAGGGGGAGATACCATATTTGCATAAACCTATGCATGAAAAAACAAGACATGTAAAGTGATCCATGCTCCAAGCACTGATCAAGAGTCAGAACCAGATGCAGGTCTAAAAGAAGATAATGGTGGTATGGTGGAAGAATCGGGCTGTGATGATGATCTTGATCTACCTATAACTATGAGGATGAAACTGAGAGCTTGCACTAGGCACCCTATTGAAAGATTTGTGTCCTATCAAGTACTGTCTGCTAAATTTTGTGGATTTACTGCCTATTTGGATAACATTATAGTATCAAAGAATATTGAAGAAGCCATGGTCTTACCTGAATGGAAGCAAGTTGTAATGGAGGAAATGGAGGCATTGACAAAAACAATACGTGGGATGTTGTAGAATTACCTCTAGGTAAGAAAGCTGTTGGATGTAATGGGTCTTTACACCTAAATACAATGTTGATGGTAGTCTAAACAAATACAAAGGAAGACTTGTTGCTCAAGGGTTCTCCCAGGTGTATGGTATAGATTACATTGAGACATTTGCACTTGTAACCAAACTTGATACTGTCAGAATAATTCTATCTCTAGCAATCAATCTTGATTGGCAGTTACATTAATTAGATGTAAAAAACGCCTTCCTAAGTGGTGAGTTCAAAGAAGTATACATGAAGCCGCCTCTTGGGTTCCCAGGGAGCAAACCAAATCAAGTATGCAAATTGAAGAAGTTCTTATATGGACTAAAGCAGTCTCCAAGAGCTTAGTTTGAGAGACTTACCTAGGTAATAAAAAAGGCAAGGTTTACACAAGGTCAAAGCAATTACACCATGTTCTTCAAACATTGAGGCACTGAAATTACTGTTTTGTTAGTTTATGTGAATGATATGGTTCTTACAGGTGATATTAAGGAGATTGAAAACCTTAAAAAGGCACTAGCTCAAGAATTCCAAATAAAGGATCTTAGAGAAATGAAGTACTTCCTAGGTATGGAGGCGGCGAGATCCAAGAAGGCAATTTCTATTTCTCAGAGAAAATATGTGCTAGATCTCTTGAAAGAGATTGGCATGCTTGGATGTAGACCTAGTAATACACCTATCCGAGTTGACAAGATAAGCAATGAAGAGGATCTGGGCAAGTTTGTTGATATGGGTAGGTATCGACGTATGGTGGGAAAACTGATCTACTTGTCACATACTAGGCCAGATATTGCCTTTGCAATTAGTATGGTGAGTCAACACTCACATGACCTGAAACAAAAACACTTGAATGAGGTCTACAGCATTTTTAGGTATTTGAAAGGTGCTCTTGGAAAAGGTTTATGGTTTAAGAAATCTGAGAAACAAGGAGTAGAAATCTTCACAGATGTAAATTGGGCAGGTGATCATGACGACAGAAAGTCCATATCTAGATATTGCACTTTTGTTTGGGAAAACTTGGTTACTTGGAGAAGCAAGCAGAGTATAGTTGCTCTTAGTAGTGTTGAGGCAGAATTTTGAGCCATTGCTTTAGGAATTTGTGAAGGTATATGGCTAAAAAGAGTCATTGAAGAACTAAAAAGGAATGTGAATTTGCCTATCACTCGTTATTCAGATAGTATGGCAGCAATTAGCATCTCACAAAATCCAGTCCAACATGATAGGACTAAGCACGTTGAGATAGACAAACACTTTATCAGAGAAAAGATTGACACTGGCATCATCTAGATGAGGCACACACCAAGAAGGGAGCAAACGGTTGATGTTCTCACCAAAGGCTTGAGTAGAGATAAGTTTGATTATTTTATTGGCAAGTTAGACATGATCAATATCTATGTTCCAACTTGAGGGGGAGTGTGGAAATATATACTCCCTCCGTCCCAAATTATAAGACACTCTTAGACAAAATCTCACATACCAATAAAGCTCATTAAATACACTTTACAATCTTACTTTTTCAAGACAAAAATGTAAATATTTAGGAATGCCCTTCATCTTCATTTAATACTCCATTGATAAAAGAATTTGAAGAGAGAGATTATATGGAAAGGATAATATTGAAAAACTATCATTAATTAAACCTTATTTTTATCAAAGTGTCTTATATTTTGGGATGCTGAATCTTCTCTAAAAGTGTCTTATAATTTGGGACGGAGGGAGTAATATTTAATGTAAATATTTGGTGATTATTCCCGTGGATATTATATGATCAAATATGATCAGGTTTATTATGGGAGATTTGATTTTATTCTGTATCATTGTAAATCCCTTCTTTCTCGGCCCACATTGTGGCTTCCCTACCGTGTATATTCTGTCAACACCCACTGAATGGAATTAGTCTAGTTTTGCTCATTTATCTTCAGTTTTACCCTTGTTACTGCAACTTGATGGGAGAGTTAAATTGATGTTCAGTTCTCATGCCTAACTGCTTGATTAAGTGTTGGAGGTCCAAGGGGTATATTCTCTTGGCAAATATTGATCTTTGATTGTATGAAATTAATTTTTTTCTGGTTTGCACGCTGGTTATATCAGAGCTAAATGCTGATTTCCCCATTCTTGGAAAATTTTATTTCATGGCCTACCTTTTGAGGAGCCTTATGATTTGCATAATGTCTGGCGTCAATCTAGCAGAACTTTTTATTTAGACCTTGCACTAGTCTTGGCTATTCTATCTCCTAAAGTTGTAATATTCATTTTCCCCTCTTAATGCAATGTCAGGGTCACAAAAATGTGTAATTCTGGAGTCTCGTGTGACATTCAACCATTGCTCCATATTTTGATGGTAATTTTCACTGAACATCTCTGGTGTCATCGTTTCTCTAAAATGTATATCTTCAAAGGGGGTCTTCTTTTTTAGAATTTCGTAGAGAATGAGAGCTAAATTCTTAGAGAAAAGGGAGAGCCACCACACACAGTATATTAGTGAAAAGCTCGAGTCAGTGATTATTAGATTAACCCTCGGACTATTATTTGTACCAATACTAGAACCATACAAAGACACTCTTATCTTAGGTGTATTATAAATAGCCATCTCCTTAGCCAATAAAACGACAAATACTTCATAACTCAATTTACTAGATTCTCAATATCTCGTCAGAATTCAACTGATCAAAACATTGCATCAATATCACTGAGTGCTAGGCACGCACAAAGTGTTTGAGATTCAGAGGTCTGCAAATTGTTGTCTCATTGAAGCAGCGTCTTACATATATGTCATTTGTGACCTGACTCGGATGATCATCAAAGTAAAGATGAGTGTTTCTGTCTTCACAGGGAATAGTGTTGCGACGGCACTTGAGATCACCATCAACTCTATTAGGGCAGCAAGGCTTCCACGTATCCAATATCCCTGCAAAGGCAAGAATTTATTCATGGAATCATAGATAAATTGAGCCAGCACAATCTTATGAGTTACTTCCTGATGCATTTGTCCATGTACCATATTTATGTGCAGTTGTCCTCATCTCTACAAGGAACCCGTAAAGATCGGAATGCACAAAGATTAATCCAGGAAGCTGAGACTGCAACTGGTATAGCATTCTCGGCAGCCTCTCATTGTAAGAATTGATCACTCTATTCATTGTTTCATTGCAATTTCCTCTTGGTGTCATGCGGGCAGCAATTGATGGAAAGCACCCTGCTGGAGGAATATTGTTCACCAAAAACTTTCTTGCTCCAAATTTGTACAGTTCCTGCCATGGTAAAAGAAAACAAGGTTTCCTAATATGTTTATGCAAGAACTGTAATAGTGGTGATATGAAACTTTTTAAGCACTAATATTTTTCATTTAGAAAAAAAAAATTAAATGTTTATTTTCCATCATTAACATGTAAATCTGAAGTTCTGCACGTGCAAACCATACTTGTTCATTAACTATAAGTGCTTAGGCCTAAAGGAAGAAAGGGTGGGGGGAATGTTATTTCACTCCAATAATTTAATATTATTAACTTTAGAATAACAAATGTTACCTGCAGGTGTCTGGAAAGTTCTTTTAACAGGAACAGAGCAAATGAGCGAGTGGAGGGCAAGATTCTGTTTTCAATTTGGCCGTAATCATTGACCCCTGCACTGATAACAAACAAGGATTCGGACAGATGCCTCTCCAATACTGCTTGCTCCTTGAACATCTTCGGTAAGTCATTTTGAACAGTTCTGTTAAAGATCTTTAGTTGTGTGGGTAATGTTAAACTTGTCTTCTGCAAATAAAGAATATGAAATAGTAAGGTAAAAGCAAGAACTGAAACAATCATAGAATAGTGGAGGTGATAAATTAATGAAAAGAGGTCAGACTAAGAATCTTACATTGTTGGTTTCCTGTAGAATACCAGAACCACCAGATGCATAAGTAATCCCTGTAGTGATTTTACTTCTTTGACGCTTTGAAAGACTCAGGTATGCAGGGGGGAAGGGTAGCCCAAGAAGTATAGCTGCATAACGTATGAGACATAGATTAACTTGTGGGCAAATTCAAAATTGTGTCAGAATGTAACTACCATTGGTTGGATCAGAGAAAGTTCAGATCTTGGAAAATAGTGTTGTTGAAGAAATAGGTGCCTTACCAAGGTAATCAGCCACTGTTTTTCCATTCGTGTATCGCCCAGTAGGTTTGCTGCCAGCAAAATCCATGCCATAAGGAAGAAAACTTGCATCATTTGAGGGAAAACCAAGATATTTGTTGTTCCCATTTCCAAATAAGGAATCCCCAAATACATACATAGCCGGAATGTTTCTCGAACCACGTTTCAAGCTATCAGAATTCAATGCTGATGCAAGGGGTAGAAGCAAAGTTAAGAAAAAGGAGATGGTGAGATGATTGGCATTCATTTTACAGATAATTCCAGCGTGTGAGAAGACAAGCTAGTTGAAGTTCTCTTGGAAAGGATGGACTATGAGGTGTTTTGCTTCTGCCCTTAGTGATGATGGAGCTAGAACAATTTCTTGGGTTTTTAAATCAGAAAATCATCAGACAATAGGTTATACTCTTAAAAATATTATAATATCTGGTAATTACAATTTACCCTTTGCAGTTTGGTTCAAATTAGTTTGCCTCTTGTGATGTGAACGGAGTCATTTGACACCCTTATGCCATGATTGGTTAAAAAATAGAGGATGAGACCCACAAATATTGAGATACTCCTTCTGGACTACAACATAAGACATTTTCTAGCAAACATGCTTGGTCGAAAATACAAGACATTGATTGAGTACTAGTTATAATTTTTTTTAAAATTATATCTCAACTTCATTATTATTTTTTTTTTTTTAAGAAAGGGTTTGCTGGAGTTTCTGTTGTTGTTATTATATTGAGACATTTATATAGGATATTTAATAAGGATATAATTAGAAAAATATATAATTTATTAAAAGATTAAAGTTTCAACTTTCTTTCTTTCTTTGTTTTTTTTTTTTTTGGAAGAAATAGTTACCGATGCCTATTTTGTGGACCTGAGGGAGCATGTAGTAATATTTATTGTTGATTTTCCTTTTTGCAGTAACATGTAGTTACTTAAAACAAATAAATTAATTTTACATTCTAAGTTTGAAAGGTTCAAAGCTTATGCAAAGCAACAATCATTTACCTTGAACACGTGATTTGGCATAAGCACGTAACTTGACAAGCAAAATTATATTTCTCTTCTTGTCTTGTCTCATTGTATACACCTAAACTTCATATTCACATTCTTCTTTGCTATCTTCTGCGAGATCTCGTGCATAAGTCCAAGTTTTGCATGTAAGAGATATTTCAGTATTGTTAAATGTCTCAATCTAACTGTGTCATATTCTTTTTATGGAGGAACAACCGTGTGACAGAAAGTCGTGACATGAAATACATTGTCTTTCAGTGTCTCGTTTATGCCCCTTCCATAAAAACATGAACAACGTTACTATTCAAATTCAAATATTGTGCTTAACAGAGTTGACTTCCCTCCATTGTATTAGATTTGACGATTTAGATTTAATAATTTTTAGTAGTATAGAATGGCATTTCAGTATTGTTAAATGTCTCAATCTAACTGTGTCGTACTCTTTTCATGGAGGAACAACCGTGTGACAGAAAGTCGTGAGATGAAATACATTGTCTTGCAGTGTCTCGTTTATGTCCCTTCCATAAAAACATGAACAATGTGATATCCATGGAAACCACATTTGATGACACAAACAGGATTCCCTTAACTATTCAAATTCAAATATTGTGCCTAACAGAGTTGACTTTCCTCCATTGCATTAGATTTGATGATTTAGATTTAATAATTTTTTAATAGTATAGAATGATCTGCATCATTAAGATTTAGATTTATAATGAAGGGAAAAAAAAATAGAGAGAAACAGAGAGCATATTTGGCAGGAATAGTTTTTGTTCTCTAGACCCAAAAAAACAAAAAAAAAAATTCTGTTTAGCAATGTATTTTCAAAAAATGTTTTGAAAAAAAAAATATTGTTTTAAAAAATAAAAAACAAAAATATTTTTTAAGTGCTTTAGGATTATTGTTCTGAAAAATAAAAAAAATTAAAACAATATTTATTTTTATTATTATTATTTTATTTTTAAAATATATTCTATAAAACATCAGTTCTTAAAATAATAAAATAAAAGTAATTTCAAATAGGCCTTAGGTTTGAGGTTTTTTTTTTTTTTCAAGGTCTTAATATTCAAAATATAAGTCAGTTCAATGTTGTTGGATGTTTATTTTTCATAAATATCCTTAATTATTATTAAATGTTTATTCTGGGAATCAGTAGGAGAGACCAATTATCAGTGGCGCATTTTTTTTAAAAAAATAATTTAGAACATATTTAATGAGTAGAATCAATTTTAACCAATTTTCTTATTATTTATGAGGTAAGTAATTTTGACTATTATATGGGACCAAAGTAATGAGGTAATTAACAGCAAAGTTCATTATTCGTTTATTCTACTGTTCATTTACCAGGTCTTCTTTGTCATTTAAAATTCATATTATTTAGGGAAATTCAATAGACCCCAATCCAAGCAATAAGATATAGATTTGTAAAATATAACCATATTAGAAATGTACTTTTTTAATATACATATGTAAAATCTTAAAAGCAGTAATGAAATACTAGATATAGAGTGTATAAGAGGAACATATAGAAAGCAAAGGGGACAAAAACAAGAAGAGAAAAGCAATTTAGAAATCCGAAGGATGCAATAAAATATATAATGGTAGTACGTATTTTATCATCATATTTAATGTCTAGTCATCGTTTTGAAAATTAAAAAAAATGACAATTCATAAAATCAAAGAAACTAAAGTAATTTAACTAAACGTATACAATAAATTTTTTCAATTCAATCATTCTTCATCTATATGCCTTGTTTATTTTATCCAGGTAAAAAAGGCCATGAGTTAAACTTTTATGCGTAAACAAAACTAAATATTCCCTGCAATAATACCAATTTTTACATTGACACATTAACGCAAAGTTAGAAGGATTAAATTCAAAGGGAAAACATCCAATACTGTAATTTGCATGGTACTCTTTTTTTTTTTAATGTAATTATTCAACCGAATCAGATTCAACATTTGAGTATCATTAGACCTAATTGAAGGCAACACTTCCAAATACGTTATCTATATTTACAGGAACCTGAACTTGTGACATTGTGCACAAACAACTATAATCCCTTCCACCAAGATCAAAGCTTGTTCGTTCTTTTTATTACTCTTATACAAAGGAAAGTGCTGATTACATTGCAGTTTGAAAACATGGTTCTATAGCTGATATTTCATGAATATGGGACCGAGCCTCAAACATGTTAAATTTTTTGTCTTTCAATATAATTGAGGAAAAAGGCTTTAAATTAGATCATTTGTTCTGTTTTATTTTATTTGATAATTAGGAAGTTTAGCATAAGTATCAGCTTATGATAAATAGAAGACCCATTTATTATCAAATATTTATTCATGTAAGCCATTATTGGCATATAGTAGTTGTTCTTCTCCCTGTATCTCTTAACAAATATTTTAATTTTCGCTCTTCAATCTCAGTTCTTACCCCAACCTTAACTTTTTCTCAACGATGTCAGGTTCTCATCTAAAAAACTGCAACGTAACAAGTACTTCAAGAATTTTTTTTCCTCAAAAAAATTATAAGTAATTAAATATATAATTTTTCTCAAATAAAAAAAATAATTGGGGTAAACATTCATAGTTTTTCTTATAAAAATGCACGAAAACCACAAGCCCTGTCAAAATTAAGAACAAACAGCATCGCCACACCCGGTCCAAATTCCTTGTTCTCACAAAAATGAAGGTATACTACTATTCCTAAAGGGAAAAATTTAATGAAAAAAAAATAACAATCAAAGACTTTTATATAAAATTTATATCAATCAAGAATAAGTTATCAAAATTTGAATGAAAAACAAGTCTGAATAAACTGTTGTTAATTTAAAACTAGTTATTGTTAAAATCTTAATAAATACTTATTGATAAAAGATCAACTCGAATCAATAAATATCTATTGAAATTTTGACAACAACTAATCCTTGATTGATATAAATTTTGTATAAAGGTCCTTGATTGCTATTTTCTCAATAATGAATGGGGGTAACATCAAAATATAAATCTCATGCACAATCATGTTCTCTAGCATTATTTTTTCGAGTACAAAAATATAAGAATATATGGAATCCAATTAAATTGCCAAGTCAACCAAGTATGCTACTTTCAGTCTTTATATACAAGTCATATCTAACAATCTCAATGAGACTAAATAGAAATAATTACATCATTAACTTTATATGTTAATAAAAACTTCGTATTTACCCTCTTTGAATTCATGAATTCAAAAAATAAATAAATAAATCCTACCTCATAATTAAATGTACTTCAAGAAAATTGGAAGAGACAATTCTGAAAATACCATAATACTCTACCTGCCGCCTTACTAATATACCGAATCATATATTTTTTTTTCTAAAAGATGCCCAATGTAAAAGATCCAAGGGAATAGACAATTGGCAATTTCTAGGGAGTTAAGAGCAGATTTTGGCCGGCAAAAGAAAACAACTGAGGTTTGTGACAGTTAGGCTGCTCAACTTGATGAATATAATTATTAACTAATTCCACCAAAAGATTTTTTTAAAAAAAAAAAATCAATTACCTTCCCCATAATACTTTCATTGCCGGAAGTCCACTAATTCAAACTGCCAAATGTTTTGTAACGACGCATTGTTCGTATCTCTCAGCCTATGTTTTTTCCCCCTTCTAGCTACTAGATTCTTTCATTTCATTGGTCAACATAATCTTTTTTTGTAACTCAACACAACATTTTTACATGTCTTTTAGAATAAAATAAAACATTTCCCATATGCCACAAGTATACTGAAAACCATGGTAGGGAACAAACACTGAAATATTAAGCCAAGTGAATTGGTTAGCCTTTTTTTTTTTTTTTTACATGGAATTTATTATCTTTTTCTATAACAGTAGACAGCACATCAACACACAAAAGCCAGGCCAAATGCACCGCTATAATGCTATTGGATTTGAGAAAGACCTATATATACATGATAGCATCAGCTTAACATCAATGAATCTTTTCCCTTTAGACACATTCATGAGAAGGATATCACACATCAACCAATCAGTGCAAGAAAAGAATGGCCTCTTTCTCAGTGGAGGATTTCATAGGGAATGGAATTTTGAAGGGGTTGCTTCCAAAGTTACTGGAAGAAGGTTGGGATGATGTGCCAACAATGAAGATGATGAACGCAGAGGATATGAATGCAATACACATGACACAACAGCAAAAGGTCAGTTTCCCATATCAATTTTCATCATCATCCTCCACAGAAACCTATATGTCAACAATGATTTTATCATTTAAGTGTTACTTTGTTCAAAATGGGGATATCTTATTTATCAGCTTTCATCCACAACAAATCAAGAGTAATTATAACAACATTTGAATGATCTTTTCAACTAATTAAGTATCATATATGGCAGTCACTTCAACTTGTGCGTTCTAAGTGTCTTCTTTCCCACCCCACCACAGGATGCACTTGGATTGAGGTCATACCTGCATGAACGTGGATTGATGAAATACGCAGAGAAGATGGAGGCATCTGGAAAATATCTCCCTGAACTCCTTAACTTCAGCAGCATGGATCTTTCAGCCCAGTTTGACATGAAACGAGGCCATATTGCCCGTTTTGTGGACAGAACTAGATGTGATGATTCTTTCAAACTACGTGCAATTCCTACCAGGAAAAGATCCAGCATATTTTATAGAGATGATAGTATCCCCAAGAGTCATGCATCTTACAGCTCTAATGGTATGAAAAGATCTTATTTAAGGAGTAATACAACTTCTGATAAATCACTTGAGCAATCAATGGCTGATTTAAAGATTAAAGATGGATACATCTTTAAAGGGATTGTAGCTGCAGGGCCAGCTGAGCCTAGAGCATGTGGCTGTGTACAAGCTCCTCCTGTCATTGACCAAGTAGCTCCATATGCTGCTATCGAAAATATATCAGTGCAGAAACTAGCTCCAGAGTATAAGATTGGAATGGAACCATTGGTGAAAACAAATACACCTCCAATGAAGGCTTTAGAACTGTGGCGAGATCAACCAGCTGTCATCCTCTGTCTCCGACGACCAGGGTATATTTGACAACTAAAGCAGTAGACTTAAATACGAATGATCCACTCTTAATATATAAAATTCAATAATAGTATTTATCATAGTTGTCAAAATCATATCTTTCACCCTTCAGAATTTTACAATTAGCAACAAATTACAAAATCAGTGATATGAATTGATTACTACATCAAAAGCAGCCTTGAATTCATGAGATGGAAGATAATACGGTAAAATCGCTCAATTTTATGATTCAGAAATGCATGAACATAATGAGTTCCTCTATCATGTTTTGTTGTGATTAACTGTTGTCTTGTCTATACCTCTTAAAACAAAGAAGAATGTCACATGAGCATATTTCAAATTAACTAACAACTTTATGACTAATGACCTTATCAATGACTTATGTTGAAGTAATTTTCTAATCGATCAAGTTACATTTATAAAAGATATCCATGCCATATTCTGTATTATAAGCAATTTTTAGTTGTCATTGAATTTTATGATTTGATATGTTTTTTACATATTAGGATTCAGATAATTCTTTTTGAAAGGCATATTATCACAATTTAAAATCTATGATATGTATAATAATGATGATGATAAAAAGAAGGTAGGTTGATCGGTTCAGTTGCCATCAATTTTCCCAAGTGGAGAATTAACAATAAAATCAAACCAACTGATTCTACAAAACTTCCGTCCAAACTATTCCAATTAAGAGATCAGTTTTGGTTGGATTAGATTATATTGTTTGGTCCAATCAGATGGAATAGGTTTTGAACACTTCATAGGTTTCTTTATACTGACAAGAAAGTGAATTCTGTTGCTAATTATGCTCCTTCAACTTGAAAACAGGTGCATCATGTGTAGAGCCGAGGCACACCAGCTCTTTTCGAGAAAACCCATATTTGATGCACTCGGCGTTAAACTATTTGCAGTTCTTCATGAGCACATAGAGTCAGAGGTATTAATAGACTTCAAACATTTGTTATTAGAATCAAATCTTCTTTGATTGACTTATTATTGTTGTGGAACAGGTAAAGGATTTCTGGCCCCGATATTGGGGTGGCACAGTACTTTTCGATCGAGGTAGGGATTTCTTTAAAGCTCTTGGTGGGGGAAAACTATTAAAGGATAAGTTCATATCAGGATTTTTACTGAATCCCCGAGCACTGGCCAATTACAAGCGTGCAAAGGCCATAGGAGTTGACAATAACTTCAAAGGAGAAGGGGAGATAAAGGGTGGAAAACAGGCATTGCTTACCAGTTTATAGAGAGGAACTTTGGTGATTGGGCACCCATAGCTGAAGTCATCGAGATTTGTACTCAATTGCAGGTAACAGTCATTGGTTTCTTTGCACCATGTCATTGTTGCTCCTCTTCTAAGATTCTCTTTTACTAAATCTTCTGAACCTGATGCAGAAACAACAACGTCAAAAGGAATCCATGTAACCTTGAGAGGATTACAGTTACAAAGTTTATGACAAGTTGCTCGAACTTTCACTCCTTGCACTTCACCTCCAATAGAAGTATATTCAACTTTATTTTGATATAAAAAAGAATAGTAGCTTATGTAGTCTATATTGAACAAATATAATTTGATACTTGGATATAAATTATTTTTTTCAAAAGACCTCTGTATTCTCTTGTCATTAGTTTTGTTTCTGTTTTCATGTAATTCGTTGGTTGAATTCTTTGATTCTCTTTAACCATATTCTCCCATTTCCACTCAAAATAAAGTCTGCATTTCTCGGTAATCAGTGAAACTATTCCATCCAAACGAGAGAAAAAGAACGTACAGTAGAATAGCCAGAGTAGAGTAGCAAAAAACAAAGAACAATGGAAAAACAGGAAAAATAAAAGAATTCCCAAGCATTCGAGAGTTTAGAATCTCTACCGAGTCCAGATTAAACTCTTCCTCATATCTCACTGTCCCCCCTCCTTTCTCTCCTGTATACTTTTTGTTCTTTGACCATGGCCCGATAGGCATTGGCCATCCTGTTCCCAGCCAAGGACCCTAATATCTCAACTAGCTAGGTGCTGGAAAGTAAGCATTCACTTCTGTGATGGAAATATTAACACAGATTTTGCAAGGATAACTATAATCTGCTCTAAGAATCAGCTGAATTTTATTTAACAATTTATTATCTAAAAGATTTTCAATAAAAGATGCCTTTGAGAGTTGAGATGGACCCAAAAAGAGACATTCACGTTACTTTTTCACTCATGGTTGTCAGAAGCTATACACAATACTTAGACCAAAAGTTTCTAAAATACTTCGTTGTGAAGTTCATAACTTTCAGCTCAATCCCAATGTTTGGAAAACGGGCAAATGCACATGAATGACACAGAAAAGAATCAGTATATTGGGAAATAAGGCACAATCATAATGTTCTGGCGTGATAAAATTTCAGTAATAATGACATCTGCCTCAAACTGAGGAAAGCTTTCAGGAGACAGGATTAAAAAAACATCACAAACAAATTGTTCTGGGTTAAAATTAAAGAAAGAAGTCACATTTCTTTTTTAAAACAAAAATTACAACCTACAAGTTAACAGACTACTAATCATACAGAGAAGGAGGAGAAATTAAAATTTTGAACTTTCTACAGTTTGGTGATTGGAGATATTGATGTCAGACCAAACTGTAAAGGATACTTGATAAGCTAACCAGCCCATCAGAGAAATTTTGCCTGCCTCATATTACTAAACATCTTTTTCCACCTTATTGTTGGCACACCTAAACAAATATTATTACCCCCTACGTTATCAACCATGAACCAAGACAAGCACCTCAGTATTTTGTATTATTGATCATGCCAAGTATGGTGACAACTAAATTATGATTGCAGAAATAGGTGTGGACTCTACACCATCAGAAAACAATGTATTTACTGTCCCATTGATCTTTTTTCCTACTATTTTTAGCTTCGGTTGCGGTTAAAGGTGTATTATTTCAAGTTTTCTTGTAGTTTGATCAAGAAACAGGACAATTATCAGGTTTCAGTTTGACCACACGTGCACTTGCATGCCGAGCTCACAAACATGAGAGAAAATTGGGGGGGATGAAGGCAAAAGTAGAATGACTTACCACAACATAAATAAGATGAGGAAATTAAATATGAATTAACCAAGTGACTCTTCTCAACTTTGCGTCATTTGGCTTTTCTGGTTAAATTATTGGCAATTGAGCAGCTGCTACAAAAAATGCTTCTAATGACTGCTGACAAGTCATACATTTTGTATTTGTTGAGTCTCCTCCTTCTCAAATCAAGATGGCCAAAAACTCTAGATCTATAGTAGGGACCTTAGCTGTAGTTTGGCAGTTTAAAAGATGCATAAAAGGCAATTCCATTCATCTATCGAAAGGTGATCTCATAAACCAATTCACAATGACTCCTGCATTTTTCATCACTTTTCAAAATAAAGTCCTCTAAATGTAGGGTAAATGGATGTGAGAATCAAGCCAGTCACCAGAAATCTCCGCATGAGCAGGTTCCATCTTTAAATAAGTGGAACCGAGCAGCATCTCTTACAAGAATTTCCCGCTGGGTGACCTTAGATATATACTTAGTGGCATTGTGGCAATCCCCACAAACCCTCAGATTTTTAACTATGCGTATGGGGAGATCTGGAGGAATAAATATCAACCCAAAGGCTATAGCAAGCTTTTCACTATGGTGATTAAGCATCTTAATTTTTTCTGAATCCTCAACATCATGGAGAACAGAATTCATATCAGGAACATATCCCTCTTTCAACAATTTGTAGTTTAGTTTCTCGAGCTCAGCATATATCTGACCTGAAAATGGACTTGACCGATCATCAGCAGAGAAAATGTGCACTCTCTTCTTATATTTGATCCAGCTACATCCTTGTTCTTTTCTTAGTCCCTTGTCCCTCATTCCTTTTCTCAGTTTGGCAACTTCCTCCCATTCTCCTTTTGCAGCATAGATGCTTGAAAGCAAGATGTAGCTTGCCGTATTATGTGGCTCCAACTCCAGAAGCGATTCAGCTGCCCATTTGCCAATTTCCATGTTTCCATAGAATCTGCATGAGCTCAATAAAGTTGCCCAAGCAATTGCATCAGGATAGAAAGGCATCTTGTTTATAAAATTCCGTGCTTCCTCTAACTTCCCAGCTCGACTGTAGAGGTCAATCATGCAGCTATAATGATCATGAATTGGTACAATCCTGTGTTCTTCAATCATTGATTGGAATATTTGTTTTCCTTTCTCTACTAATCCTGCTCTACTGCAAGCAGAAAGAACCCCAATAAAAGTAACTCCATCGGGTTTCAAGCCATGGGCTAACATGCTTTCAAATAACCTGATTGTTTCATCGGCTTTGCCAAACTTGGCATATCCAGAAACCAGGGCAGTCCATGAGACTTCATCACTGACCCTCATTTCACTAAAAAGCCTATGGGAGTCTTCAATGCTTCCACACTTGCCATATAATGTAACGAGAGCATTGGAAACAGTAATAAAGGAAAGTAGGCCTGTAATCAGAGCTCTACCATGAAACTGGGCACCCTCTTCTATGCTGGCAAGGTTGGCACAGGAACTAATTACACTGCCAAGAGTGAAATCGTCTGGCTTGACTCCATCTTTTTGCATATCACAGAAGATTTTAACAGCTTCCTCACTGTAACCATTTTGTCCATAACCTACCAATATTGCAGTCCAGGATACAACATTCTTAAAGGTCATCCTCTTGAAAACTGTTTCTGCTGATCTTATGCTCTTACTCTTGCAATACATGTCAACAAGAGCACTACCTACAAATATATTATCCTTATAGTCAGTCCTAATTATATAAGCATGAACTTGCTTGCCCTCTTGCAAGGCAAGAAGACCTCCACAAGCAGTTAACACACTTCCAAATGTGTATTGGTCCATCTCAAAATTTTCTAATCTCATCTCTCTGAATAAATCAATTGCCTCTTTATTTAAACCATTTTGCGCAAAGCCTGTGATCATTGTGGTCCAAGAAATAGAATCTTTTTCCTGCATATTATAAAATAATTGCCTCGAATCACTAATCATACCACATCGTAGCAGCCCAGTTAACATAGTATTGAACATAACCATATTCTTCTCAGGAATCTCCTCAAAAGCCTGCCTTGCACAAAAAATGAAGCCGGATTTTGAGTACATATCCACCAAAGGACTTCCAACAAAAACATAGGACTGGAAACCAAACTTCACAATGTGCCCATGAATCTGCCGTCCCAAATTAACACACCTATGACTTGAAGCAAGTATAAGCATCGTAGAGAACGTAATCCGAGTTAAATTGTTGGACCCTTCCTTTAACATTAAATTATAAGCCTTCACTGAGTCAACAATGGAAATTCCAGCATACCCAGAAATAAGTGAATTCCATGACACAACATCTTGGCTTGGCATTCTATTGAAAACAGCTTGCATCTCAGCAATTTTACCCGATTTTGAATAAGTAGAAAGGATGGAATTCCATGAGAAGAGATTTGGCTCATGCATTTGATCAAACACTTGCTTTGCATAAATGATATTGCCAAGTTTGCCATAGGTACTTATGAGATTGTTTAACAAAAACGTTTCTGGGGTTTTCAATGTTTTGATGATATGGCAATGGAGCTTCTTCACCTGGGTGAGATTCCGAGCTTCACAACAATGCTTCAGCAATGCACAATAGTAGTTAGAAGTCAATGCCATACTTTTTGTCCCACTCAAAAAACATATCACTCCTGAATTTAAATTAAATGATAGTGTTCAAAATTTCCTCTCCCCACGTCATCTTTTTTTCCTCACATTAACATGCAGCTTAGACCAATCATCCACAAGATATCCAGAACCTTCTGGAATTGCCCACTTGCAATAGACTAGCCACTTAGATAGGGACACTTGTCATACGCCCAACATTTCAATTCAAATTACCCTCAGTCAACCTATCTATCATTATCAGCCATCAACGAAAACATCTGTAACAAAACCCAACAAGCCAAAAAATGAAATATAAGCTACTAAACGAAATAATGATAAAACTAAGAAACTTTATCCCGCTCAAAAAACAAATCCCTTATAAATTTAAATTAAATTAGAGTACTCAAAATTCCCTCCTGCTAAGTGATCATTATTATTTTTCCTCACATGTGCCTTGGATCGATAATCCCATACACATCCAGAACCCCACTTGCAATAAAATTTAAATGATAAACCACCAGTCCAGCACTATATTGCATCATACACTCCTTGACACGGACAAGATTTTCTCTCTCTCTATTCATCAGATACAGCTTATGCCTATTACCCACAATCCTCCACCTAAATTTTTTTAATGTTTGTGTTCCAGATCACAGCATAACAAATAATGAGGCGTGCAAAAATAAATATGATCTGACAAAAAAAATATTCTAGAAAGGAAATGTGCAAGCTGCGAGGAAAGGATCTATGTAAATGGGATATGATGAAATTAACAACTCCTCATGAATCATATGGCATCAGCATGGTATTAACCAACAAAGAGGTAGATACTCTCCACACCTATTCTTTTTGCTATGAACACTTCACCCACATCTAGTACTCCACACTAAGCTTTACATATACATACACATCTATCATATATAAATCTACTTCTATTTCACAGAGTAACAAAATCTGGTCCAGCATTTCCTCAAAAGAATTTAGGAGAAATTTGAAGTCTTTAACTGAAGGAAGCTGCTATGAAATCCAAAATGTTAGTGTCTCCCAGTTCTGCATCAAGTTCAATGAGCTTTTGTTTAACCCTATGTTACTCACACTCTTTGGCTTCATTGTTCTCTTTCATTCCATCCTAGCAAACAACTATGTCATATCCATCACCTTGGAAAATTTTGGGACTAGATACAGATGCGTATATAACAGCTGTATACAGTGCTCATCAAAGCCACAATGAACAGAAATTCCCTGTAAAAATGCAACAAAAATGTGGAGAAGATCCAACCAAAGTAAGCCAACAAAATAAACTCTTGCTCTCTCTACTGGATTCAAACTTTTTATATCTCATTTATGCAAACATATCTTCCATGCAGGTTGAAGGTCTATTATGATGTCAAGGACCTTACTGGATCCATATCTGTTGTCTTCTTCGATGCACTGGCAAGAGAATTCCTAAATGCCACTGCAGAACTCATTAAGGAATTCAATGAGGTCTATTTGGCTTAGCATATTAAAAAAAAAAAAAAACGCGCACACACACACACAGATACTCTTTAACAATGTTATACGTTGTTCTTTTTATCTTTCTGTCCTTTATAATTGACTTTCAATTATAACTATAACAATTTCTTTGATACCGAGTTTTATTTGCAGGAAGGAATATCTTACTGTGATAAACTTGATGAGGCAAGAATAACTAATCATGAAGGTGAAATAGAATGATTACAATAAATCCGTGAAAAATACCCAGCAATACCTACCAATACCGATGAACCAGCAAGCAGCAACACCAATGGCAATCACATGGTGGAACTCTCATCCAACAAGCAAACAATGACAACAAAGAAGAAAAGAGAAACTTAACTCTATGACGTAATCGAACAGAGTTATTTTCCTCAGGGCAGCGATGATATTCTGAGCTATACATTATCCCCAGCAAATAGGTCATTAAGTAAAAATAACATAAATATCACAACAATGCAAAATCCAACAATACCTACCCATATATAAAATTAATAAATATCACGACAAAATTAGTTATGATACACAACAAACTCTATAACTAATCAATATCAGCATTTGACAAGAGTGACTGAGAACGAGACAGAGCGACAACAAGACAGGCGATGACGACAGAAACAGTAAAAAAATCAAATAGAGTGATGTGACCTACCTGTTGAGATGAGTGTAAAGGCAATGAGCAAAGAGGCGGCACTGAGAGGGAGAAATGCCGTTGATGATCGAAGGGAGGGAGAACAGCGAGATAAATGAAGAGTGAAAGCTAAGGTTTTGAGGAATGAGGACGGAGCGAACGAAAAGTCAAAATAGGATGGGCCGAGAGGGAAAGTAGCAGCAGAGAGTCGGCGATTGAACCAAAAAGATGAGAGCTAGAGCGCTGAGAGGCAGAACCGGAAGAAGCGGAGTGTGTGTGAGGGAGAGGCAGCGGTGCCAGCAATTAAGTGAGGGTGAGGGAGGGAGTAACGAGCGGCAGACTAGCGGAGTCCCGGAGGCCGCGAGATACTGAGGAATGAGAGCGACGAGAGCAGCTCTGCTGAACAAGAACGACGAGAACACGATTCAACCAAGAAATTCAGGTGACTGTGCAGGTCAAAAAATAAAAAAATAAAAAAAACCACCTCCAAAATAAATTATTTATATATAAGTATCAATGTAAAATGAATTATTATTAATATTTTTTTATTAATCCTTATTTATAAATACTTTTTTAAATTTTAATTGAATGTGATTGTTTAAAAAAAATTCCTTCACTTTTCCAAATTTTTTTTTTACCATTTAGCATGTGAAAAAAATAATAATAACTGTGAGTTATTCGAACTAACATATCCACTCTTTATTATTTATGAGGTATAGAAGAAGAATTTTTCAATGTTTTTTATTGTAGTTTTTCCTTTTATCTTTCATTCAATATTTGTTATTAGATAAAGTATAATGTGAGCAAAAAGCCAAAAAAAAAAAAGTATAATGTGAGCACATATGGCATGGCATCCAACATGACATCCAAAATGGCATCTATGATGATGACATTTTACATGGCAACAAGATCCTCTTTACATAATCGAAGGTCCAATGACAAGAAATCTAACTAATTATGGGAGATTCAAGAGGCTAAGATAATATTTGAACTATAATTTGTAATAATAAAGGCCTATGATGTAAGTTCAAATTTTTACTGAAAGATATACTTACATTTAATACTCGACAATACCTCAAATAAAATTGTCTTTGATAAAAAGATACTTGTGAGCAATCAAAAAATAAAGACCCATGATGTTATTATACATGTTAAGGATACAAATGAGACTTTGGTGATTCATATTCAGGCTTAAATGCATGCTTTTATACTAATGGAGCTCGTGGCTAGGCATGAAGATCCATAAAGTTGGCATAACATAAGCATGGAAGAGATCCCATGACATGTTGGATTAAGCAACAAGTCCATAATTAGAGTCCATTTAGTTTAACTATGTTGAGTATTTTATTTTATTAAATTTTCATTTTTTTAATTTAATGTTGTATCATTAATCATTCAAGATCAAAGCCAAACATAGGAGAGAATTGCCCATTATCATCATCCATCAACTTCTAGCAGTAAGGTAAAGGTTGATCAAAAGAAATAAAAGACCCGTTAGCAACCAACATATGGGCAACATGTTTGCCACCTAAACCAAAAGGACAAAGATATACAATGATTCCTAAATAGAATAACTCTAGCATACTCAATTATTTCTCTAAATGGATGTAATGCAATATCTGAGCAAGTAAGAAGATTCAAAGCCTTTGTATAGTCGATAAAAATATTAATATGTTAGAGCCCCCTTTGTAAGAATAAATTTAGACCTAGCATAATTGCAATAATCTTTGTGATAGTAAGTGAAAAGTTTCCCACATTTGAGTTGAAACGAAAAACACAATCATCTTCGTTGTTCCTTACCACACCACCACACCTAAAAGTGTATTTCCTGTACAAACCGTTAGCGTCAAGCCTCATAGTGTCATCTTTTAGTTTATGCCATTGACTATTTCCACTTCTAGTTCCATGGAACCTATTAGATAAGATAAAGGATTCAATAAGTTCAAATCATTTTGCACCCTCTATATAATATCCAGCTTCACTTTTCCTCCACTTCCTTATCTATTGAAAAATTTTTCCCTACAACTAGAACTCCACATAGCCTAGCATATATGACCAAATAAGACATCCCAAGGTATATATTTTGTCTTATCATTACCATTAGAATGCTTTAAATTCCAATGGACCCATTCTACAACATGCAGTCTCTTAAAGATGCTCTACACCTCTACCTTGACAAGACTCTTCCATTATTCCTCCGCTCTTAGACAACCTTTTAAGGAGGTGCATGGCATCTTTCCTCTAATTACATCCTAGCGAGCACTGGTTAGACTACCTAATTCTTCTTTTTGCTCTCAAGGTAGTTGTATGTAGTCTAACTTGGGCAAGAAGCCCCAAATGGATCTTGATCTTGATCTTCCCCTACAACAAGAAATGTATAGGCATAAGAGACATTAAAATTACCATATGAAAATAGCTTCCAAATAAAATAATTATCTCCTCTCTCTACTCTTAGGATGTGAGTATGAGTAATGCTGTTAATGATAGTACTAAGCAACTTATCCCTTGATTTAATCACATTCCATCCCACATTTTCAGCGACAAATTCATCCACTTTAGCATTCACATCATAACTATCATTCATAGCCAATTGTGTTAGGGGAACATCAATTAGAGCCCATAAATTGGTCTAGAACTTTGTATTACAATCATCACTAACTCCTTTCCCCACTCTTTTAGCAAAACTTTCCCAACTGTTCACAATACTCTTCCAAGTTAGTGAAGTATTAGTCTTTTTTTTTTTAATTTTGGAACAGCCTTAACACACTTATATTTTGCCTTAACCAACTTAAACCCAAAGGGATTTATCATTGTTGAAAAGATTCCAACACAATTTAAAGATAAAAAGCTTTGTTTTAAATGTTGAGATCTTTGATACCTAAACCCCCTCTCTTCTTATCTTAGATGATATTCTTCCAAGCAAGCAAATGAATCCTCCTGCTATTATTAGCATCCCCCTAAAAAAAATTCCAGCATTCTTTATCAATTTCAAAAATCAAACTTCTTGGGAAGCAACGTCATTTGCATATAATAATTGAGCATTGTACAAAAGACAAATTTAATTAAAATTGCTCTACTCGTAACATTAAGGAATTTCTTCTTCTAACCTAACATATGATTCTTAGCTTTGTCAAGAATAGGAGCAAAGAAATTTATAAGAAGCCCTTTATTGAATAAACAGAATCTCTAAATACTTTGCAAGATCCCCTATCAACTTAACTTGTAGCCTTTTGCTTAACTTTGGTACTATATTAAAATGAACATTGTTAGAGCAGCACATATGAATCTTATTTTTATCCATCTTCTAACCTGAGTAGTGGCAAAATTTATGAATGCAGCCATTAATGACTTCTACCTGCTTAGAAGATGCCTCGGAAAAGAGGACAAGGTCATCAATAAAGAACATGTGAGTAATATATGGCCCCTCCTTAGCAATTCTTATCGATTTTCATTTCTTCCCCTCCACTTCATCTGTAATAATATGATTAAGCTTCTCCATGCATAAAGTAAAGAGATATGGGGACATGGGATCACTTGTCTAAGACCTCTGAATGGGTAAAATTTATCAGACTAATCTCCATTCCACAAACTCTGAAACTTGCAGTAGAAATACATTTTAGAGTAAACTTTCACAACTCTATATTAATCCGAAGTTTACAAAGTGAGTGAGAATTAAAATTCCAATCAACCCTATCATAAGTCTTCTTTAAGTCTACTTTCATTGCCATAAATTACATTTTTCCTTTTAAGCTCTTCATCAATTGAATCACTTCCTACTCCACAATAATGTCATTGCTACTTTGACAACCAATAATGAAACTACTTGATACCCACAAAAATTAAAAGACACCACAAGTGTACGGGTTACAATTAAAGTTAGTGGTAAATTAAGATCAATCCCTCAGGGAATTATTTAAAATGGTAACTAGGCATTAAATTTTTAAATTCATTTAGGTTAAGCTAACAAAACTTAAGATTAATTTTAGAAAAATTAAAATGAATATATTAAAAGTGATCAATTAAAATAACTTTCAATCCACAAACAAATTAAAGTCAACTAAGAGAAGAGCGTTCTAAAATCCTAATTCCCTATTTGCTTCCTAACTCTCTCCTTACCGCATTAATTGTCTTGAAACTCAGTTTTGATAATTTAGGAATCTAAATTAATTTAAAGTATCTTTCGATTACTAAGGACCATAATTAATTCAATTAAAGTAAAATATTACTTTAATTAATTAATTGCATTAGAGATCTAACCCATGAGAATTACCTAAATTCATTCGATGCATTCTTGTTCTAATGGCAAATTAGCTAACCTAATCTTAGGATATTAGTTCTCAATGTCCAATTTGAGTTTTCTCTTTCAAGGTTCAACCCAAATGCCTAAATCTCACCTAGTGGTAGCCAAATACTAAACAAAACAAGATAGCTCAAGAACAAGTAATCAAAACTTCATTTCTTAACAACTAAACAATAAATCAAAAGTTATTTATACAAATAAGTTCATAGTCCTCTAAAACAAGAACATTTAGCTACATGTAGTTGATATGAAAACTATAACAGCAAAGAAAAGGTTTGAATCCATCAACATAGAAAAAAAGAAGAAGAGAAAACATTGATAAAATGAGAAAGAATAAAGATTTGCCGTACTTTTTCTTGATTCCAAGCTTCAAAACTTCTCCTATGCTCTCCTAGAGTTTCTTCAAGTTGCAGCAGCTGAAAGGTTTGTTCTCTAGTCGAAAAAAACAAGTTATGTAGGGTAATTTCACACAAAAAATGAAACTGTGTGTTTTCTGCATTTTTGTCTGGTGCCATGGCACTTCTTTTGTGGTGCCATGGCACTAATGAACAATTCTAAAGATAATTCTGACAGTACACACGAACTTTTACTTTTGTGTCTTGGGATCATAACTACCTTTTTCTTGTCTCCTTTCTCTTTCTTGCTTTAATGTTGTTATGCTCCACCTATCCACAATTAATAAATATGAGTAGAATATTTGCTTAAATGAATGCTGGGCTCTAACGGGACAGCAAGAGCATAAAGTTAGAGTAGCAGAGATGAGAATGTTACGATGGATGTGCGGACATATACGTAAAGATAAAATTCAAAATGAGCACGTACGCGAAAAAGTGAGGGTGGCACCTATTGAAGAAAAAATAGTAGAAAATCAGTTGAGATGATTTGGGCATGTACAAAGAAGACCAAGGGAGGCACCAGTGAGAAGAGTGGAACATATAATTTTGAGTCCGATTAAGAGAGGTAGAGGAAGGCCTAAGAGAACACTCTTGGAAGTTATTGAACGCAATCTCTTAATTAATAATATTCCTAAAAGCTTGATAAATGATAGAGTACAATGGCGTCTTACAATCCATGTAGCCGACCCCACCTAGTGGGATAAAGGCTTGTTGTTGTTGTTGTTGTTGTTTTAATAG